GTTTGGGTAACAGAAGACCAGTCTGCCTAATGCGATGGTGTACGTGATGGGATCCTATGGTGTGAGGCTTGGGATGTGGCTGTGGCTAGGAAAAGATTTCCTGTAAAGAGGTGGGCGAGATAAGAGTGCCAGTAACTAAGGTCTGCTGGGCACCCTGCCGGGTCCCATTTCTGTGCATACCTCATTTCGATCTCATCAGGAACCCTGTGGTATAGACCAGAGGCTTAGAGGCAGTGCGTAAACCTGCCAAGGTCTGCTCATAGTGAGGGTTGAGCCCCGGGAGCTGAACTGGGGCTCGTTGGTAGGGGTTCCATCCATTCTCCACTCAGGAAGGAGAGCTGAGTCAAGGACAGGCTGGGAAGACGGACTGGGCTGTTTGGAGGCTTCCTTGAATGTGGTGCTGAGGATTTCACACCTTCTAACAACAAGGACCCCGTGACAGTGAGGATCCAGTAGGGAGACTTACACGCAGAAAGCAGTGTGTTACAAAGAGCATCTGGACAGCAGGAAAAGGGGTTGGAGGGGAGAGGAGGGGCAAGACGTCTCTGATTGCAGAGGAGCGGTCCAAGAGGCTGTCCGCGGAGGGATGGGGGTGGGGAGCGAGAGGAGAAGCTGAAAACCGTTTAGCAGGAAAACTGAAGAGGCCAGGGGTCTTGAGTGGGGTTCTGGAATGTGTGGGGAGAAGAAGGAGGTGAGGACCATTCTGGCATGTCCAGCATCAACCCCAGGAACCCTGGGGATGGCAGGCGGCTCAGGACCTAGGGCTCCCTGGGTACACAGATGCCATGTTCTGCCCCTACAGAGCTTGCCCTTTCCACAAGCAGGTGGGGAGGACCATAGTGGCTGGAGCTCAGGAGGAAGGACCAGCAGTCAGGCTGGAGGAGAGCTCATCTATGGGAGGTGACTGCCAGATCCCCAAAGCATACTGGGGTTGGCCTTGGTGACAGGGGGATGGAGACAGGACTAGCCGTGGGGCTCAGGTCAGACCCTAGCAAGATTCTCCCTGTCTGGGTGTGGAGCTTCCAAATCAGCCGTGGTCATGCCCAGACCTCCCCCGGCCTGCTGGGTGGACTCTGCTACACTGTGAAGGCTTCTCTCCACCTCGGCCCTCCTCAGTGCCACCTCCCCCTTCTTTCTCCACAAAGGCTTCCAGATGTTTCCTCCCAGCTCCACTGTGGCTGAGGAGGCACCCACCCAAACAAGGGAAAGCCAAGGGTGAAGAAAGAAGGCTGGGTCACCGGTGGGCGGAGAGTTTGCCTCAGCCTCAACATCAGCACAGAGACATCTGTGTGGCTGTGAGCTTGGACGGCGTCTCACCCCCGTCGCGGAGAAACCCTGTGTGTGTTCGGTTGATGAGAATCTGAGCCATGCCCTTGTGATTTGTGCGCTTGTCTGTGTTGTATTTCAGTTAGAGTTTTAAAACCTCACAACTTGGAAGTAGGTAGTCCCGTGTTACCGGGGGAAACTGAGGCTTACGTGTTTTGACCAAGGTCATGACCAGTGGCTGGCAGAGCTGGACCCCCCACCAAGCATGCGGCTCAGGGCTGGATGCCCTTATCCCTCAGCAGACTTGTCCTTGCCACTCTCCTGTGGTTCAGAGATGGCCCTTGGACCACGTTGGGTCCTCAAATTCAAGTTCAGGCTCAAGCGTCCCCTTGAACTACCTGCCTTCCAACTCTGTGCTATTTCTGTTTCCAGTCAGTGACCATTGTCACCTTGCCAGCAGTGTGGCATCTTTCTCTGTGAGGACCCAGGACGTGCAGGCCAGAACAGGAAGGAGCAGGCCTTGTGCTCTGAAGCTCGAGCACAATCTCTCTAGAATCTTGATTCCTGTCGGGGCCTCCAGCTTTGATCACGGTCTGGGCCTGACCTGCCTCAGCTGAACTGAGCCCATTGGCCAAGTTGACAGTTGCGCTGGGGAGATTTAGCTCCAGGTTAGAACCCATATGACAGCAGCCTCTGGGAAGCAGGGGACTGATGTTGCACAAGGCCCTTTGATTGTCTCTCCTGGAGTCTCGGTCCAGCCGGGGACACTTGTCATTGTCCAGGGGTGTCATTTTCTTTTCTCTCCTTTTCTTTCTTGAAGATTTTTATTTGTTTATTTGACAGAGAGAGACACAGTGAGAGAGGGAACACAAGCAGGGGCGTGGGAGAGGGAGAAGCAGGCTTCCTGCTGAGCGGGGAGCCCGATGTGGGGCTCGATCCCAGGACCCTGAGACCATGACCTGAGCCAAAGGCAGAGGCCCAACCCACTGAGCCACCCAGGCAGCACCCCTGCCCTGCACAGCCTTGCCACAGCTCTCGGCACTGAGGACACGTTCTGTTTGCTGTACCCCATCCCCAGCACGCACCTGTGGGTATGGGTGCCAAGGCTCTCTCCCAGAGATGGAAGCCTGATCTTGACCTTCCTGTACCTTTCTGGTTTGTGTCTAACCCACCCAGATGTTTCCACATGAAGGATAATGTTCCCTCTCAGTTGTCCCTCTCTCCACCAGGATGAGACATGACCACTTTCCTGAGAAAGTTGCCCAATTAGGTTTATGAGTACTGGGAAGACTTTGTTTCTCCTGACCATATGTCTGCTTCTAGGGCCAACCCAGTCCTAACTGCTTGCTGGCTTCTGTTTCTCTCCAGCTTCAGGCTAATCCCTCCCAACCCCTGACTTACTGGTCTTGGATTTCAGATAGGAGTAATGAGTGATGGGGAGTGAAGTCCCTTCCTTTGTCTCCCCCAGTCCCCAAAAGTCCTATTCCTCACCTACCACCCAGCCCAAACCCCCCTCCCCAGAGACAGGCATCTACCACTCACAGAGGAGAAGGGCAGGGGGCTTCTTGGAGGAAGGCCCACAGCGATCTAATCCCCATACCCCCAGCCGTTGGTGGGCGGTTCTCACTAGAAGATGGTGCCTTTGTCCCTCAGGGGAAGAATCCAGAGAAAAACACGTGATGCTACCCTTAAACCACATGCAACAAGTGAGACCACATTTTCCAAGCCAGTGATTGCGAAGTGACCCTTGAGTCCCCAACCCATGACAAGGATCCGAATCGGGACACCAAGGAGAGAGGTGTGAGGGAAGGACTTCAGAGCTCTGTAAGCCCTACCCCCCAGAGGGCCAGGCTTCCCTCCACAAGATCAGTGACAAAGGTTGCAAAACTCAAAGAGTTCCACCTACCCCAGCGTTCGTGGAGTATGTCCACCAGAGGAATCCAACGGCCAGACGGTAGCTGACTGGATGTTCCCATCCAGGAAGGACAAGTGGCTGCATTGAGCCTGTATTCTGGTGGTATCCAGGCTAAGCGTGTTCCAGCCTCCAACTGTTTAGTTTCCATCCCTCTCTCTACCTCTCAGCCTAGAAGAGCAATGGGATTCCTAAGGAGAAATCCTGTGTCAAGTGCATGAGCAGAAAACCAAGGACAGACGAAGAGGCAGAGAAATCTAAAAGGGGATACTCTAGAAAATCCAGGAGAGCCCCACTGAGGAAAAGGAATCAGCTTGGAAGGTCTGGAGGCCCAGAGAACACGAAGCTATCTTAGGACAGTGTTGTCAAGAACGTCTGGGATCCTCCTTCCCCTCCTCTGCCCCTACCCTCCATCCCAAGGGGTCAGTAACAGTGTCTAACGAAGGAGGGGGAGAGGAGGGAGGAAAAAGGGCAACCTGCTTCCAGCCTGCTGCCCTTGTTGGAGATGGAGGATTCCCACTCTCGGACGGAGATCCGAGGGTAGATTACTTCTCAAGCTACAGGTCTATGTACCAATTTAAGGTGAATGAAGAACTTACCCCCCTGAGAATGACCCAGATAAGCCACAGGACCACTCAGATTTTCCTCCAGGAACAAGAAAAAAATTCTTCCACTGAATGTATTGTATAGGACCATGGGAGACTAGTGTAGGTGCATTCTGATTACCTTCCAGCAAGTTCTGAAGTCTGGGATACAGACATAGAGCCAGGCAGCAAACGGGACAGATGTAGTCAGAAAACACTGTGACCACACGAGGACCCTTAGATGGCGCGGTCTTACCCTCTCCTGGGACTGACGACGTGTCTGTGATGAGGGTGATGGTAGTTTGCCAATCTCCGTTCTGAGCCCTTATATTTTAATTCTTCGATCATCACAAGAGTCCTGTGCTTTCTTTTTATTTTTTTAAAGATTTTATTTATTTATTTGCCAGAGAGAGAGAGAGAGAGCACAAACAGAGGAATGACAGGCAGAGGGAGAGAAAGAAGCAGCCTCCTGTTGAGCAGAGAGCCTGATGTGGGACTCGATCCCAGGACCCTGGGACCATGACCTGAGCTGAAGGCAGAGGCTTTACCCTCTGAGCCACCCAGGCGCCCCGAGTCCTGTGCTTTCTGAGCAGATGGGCTCATGTTGATGTGAGGCTGGGCAAGGAGCTGATGTGATGCTGGCCAAACAGGTTCCTGTTTCATTCATTGCCCGGCCACAGGGAAACATAAAGGACAGAGAGGGGTGTAGTACAGACTAACAACCTCATTTCTCCCATCAGAGATCATTGCATTCCGCATACGGCCAGGAACCCTTAACGAAACTCAGCCTTCACTCGGGCTGGCTGTTCTACCATCTGTCCTGTCCCCTCCAGCTCACCCCGCAAAGCCAACTCCTCCCTAGAGCTGCCCTCCGCAACTCAGTCCTGAGGCCCTCCAGCTCTCGGGGAAGCAGATGCCTTCATTCCCAGAGGGAGAAAGGGCTCCGCAAAGGAAAGAGACGTAGGCAAGGTTGTGCAGTGGAATTAAGGCTTGCTGGGAGGAGAATTCAGGGTTCCGATCCCTGCAGTCCTGGAGAATGAAGGCGGGTCATTCCCGGACCTGCTCAACCCCCAGAGCGGGAGGGCGAGCTCCGTAGGCATCCGATTCTACAACATCAAGGTAGGAGAGAAGGAGCTTTTATTGGAGCAGTACAGAGAGGCAGTAGATAGAGCTCTCAGTGCCCTGGGCTGAGGGGCTCAGGGCTGGGGCGGGGGGGGGGGTGAGGAGGACAACAAGGGCTAGATGAAGGTGAGGTGAGTAGAAGCTGGGACCCCGCAGCTTTCCTTGTGGTCCTCAAAGAGTTGCTCCAGAGCCTCCAAAAAAAGCATGTGATAATGGTCCACTTCCTCCTTGGTGGGGTCCAGGCGCTGGGGCACTGGGATGGGGCGGCCCACTGCAGGGAGAGGGGAGACAGAGGTCGGGGGTGGGGGAGGTCCTGCTGCCCGCACAGCTGACAGCAGTTTTCTTGCCCGGAGATGGGGACTCACCCACAGTGGTGATGGGCCTGGCGAAGGGGAGCAGGCCCCAGGAGTTGGCCGAGAAGAGGCCCCGGCCCCAGAAGATGCAAGGAGAAAAGCCCATGATCCTCTTAAAGGTGATCTGACATAGATACTGCCAGGAATCTGTGGCAAAGGCCTTAAATTTGAAGATGTCATTCTCCCCAAAGGAGTACACAGGTACCAGGGAGGCCCTGGGAAGGGACAGAGAGAGAGAGAGAGAAGAAGGGTGGTCAGGCCAGCGGCTTTTGGAGGGAACCACAAGTCCCTCCCCACACCTCTGGATTCCAATGGCCAAGGCCATTTCAAGCAAATGACAAAGATCTGGAGAGAAGGGACTCACGGTTCTTGAGAAATGAGTGTGTACTGGGCCTTCATATGTTGACTCTTGAACAACATGGGGTAAGGGGCACTGACCCCCACCCCCAAAATCCCCATATAACTTAATACTCTCCCCAAACTTAACCCCTAATAGCATGTCCAATAACATAATTAGTCAATTAACAAATATTTTGTGTATGTACTATATATTGTATTCTTATAATAAAATAAGCTGGGGGGCCCCTGGGTGGCTCAGTCAGTGAAACGTCTGCCTTGGGCTCAGGTCATGATCCTAGGGTCCTGGGATCGAGTCCCAGGTCCAGCTCTGCACTCAGCAGGGAGTCTGCTTAAGATTCTCTCTCCCTCTGCCCCTCCCCCAGTTCATGCTCTTACCCACAGCCTTCAAATAAATACAACCTTAAAAAAAATCATCAGGGAGTGCCGGGGGGCTCAGTTGGCTGAGCGGCTAACTCTCGGTTTTGGCTTAGGTCATGATCTTGGGGTCTTGGAACTGAAACCCAAGTTGGATTCTGCAGTCAGGGTGGTATCTGTTTGAGGGTCCCTGCCCCTCCCTCTGCTCCCCTCCCTCACGCCTCTCTCTCCCCCTCAAACAAATGAATCAAATCTCTAAAAAAAGAAAATCATCAGGAAGAGAAAATACATTTACAGTACTATATTGTAAAAAAAATCCATGTATAAGGGACTGGTGCTGTTCAAACCCATGTTGTTTAAGGGTCAACTGTATACATTTTGTCCTCGAGCTTTTGCAACTATAGGATCCTAGCACAGTAGTGTTAGTCCTATCTCACAGGCAGAGAAACATGTCCAGGGTCTTGCCTTTGAGGTAGTGTCAGAAAAGGCTTTGAACTCAGGATTTTGGAGCACAAGGTCCTACTACTTATGCTATGATCCCGCCTCTCTCTCTCTCTCTTTTTTTTTTAAGATTTTATTTATTTATTTGAGAGAGAGAAAATGAGAGCCAGTGAACACAGGAGGCGGAGGGTCAGAGGGAGAAGCAGACCCTCCCCTCCAATCAGGGAACCCAATTCGGGACTCGATCCCAGGACTCCAGGACCACGACCCAAGCCAAAGGCAGTCACGCAACCAACTGAGCCACCCACGCACCCCTGATCCTGCCTCCTTCGGAGAGGACAGAAGCCTGGCAGAAGTGGGCATGGTGCTTGGCACAGAGAAAGTGCCCAAGTGTTGATGTGTGCCAGAGGCCCACATCAGACACAGAGCCCCAACTACAGGGACCAGGATGGGTGGGGACAAAAGAGTGTGGACCCCCAGACACAATGTCAAGTTCTGACCTCCAGCAGCAGCCCTGGGCTGGGCGCCTGTACCGCACTCACCCGTGCCTCAGTGCCAGGCGCACAAAGCCTTTGCGATTGCGGAGAATGAGGCAGTGCTTCCCTGGGATGGCATACAGGGACTCCTGGGCACCCCCAACCATAATGGTGACAGCCTGCCCACGCCAGGGCTGTGACAGGATAAAGTCCAGGCTCTGCCGGCTCACAGGACGCAGCCCTATGCAGGAGAGGAGGTGGGGAGCCGTCACCACCCGCTCCCAGGCTGCCTGGCCCCTCAGCCGCCCTTTAGTGAGCCCCACACCCCATTCCCTCCAAACCTGCCATCCCCATGCCCATGTCAGTGTGACCTAGAGTGCCTTTCCCTGCAAGGATGAGGGACATTTGCTCTGGAGCTCTTCACTGATGCCCGCTGTGAAGCAGGCCAATGTTCAGGCCGGGTCCCTGCATTGGGTGCGTGGGAGGCAGTCGGGAGCAGGGGTGGGGGTGGGAGTGGAGGTTGGGAGGGAATGGCTGCCTCCTCCTGCTCAGCTCCAGGCTCACCATAGGACATGAGGTAGTCACGATAGACCGGGAGGTGGAAGAGGATGGTCAGCGCTGTCGTTGAGGTCTGAATCCCGGGGAACTTCTTGGAGAAGTTGTTGACCTCGGTGGAGAAATTGCAGAAGGCTCCCACGCACATGATCCCGTGTGGGTGGACACCCAGCACATAGTTGCGGTCAGGGGGCAACTCCGCAGTTTTCACCAGCTTCGGGTTGGGGGTGGTGGTGAGGTCAGACGCAGGGAAACAGGCATGGAGAGGGGCACCGGCTGAAAAGAGCTGCCCTCCACCCTGCCAGACTTCAGAGTTCAAGGTCCTCGAATAGGCTGGGCAGCACAGAGAGCCTACTGTGCAACGCCACTCTGCAGCGCCCACCCCCTCTGAGGTTAGGGAGCCCAGGGTGCACAGGCAGGGGTGAGTAAGTGTGGGGGATTGGGAGAGGGAGGAGGAAGAGAGTGGATGACCTGGTACCTTGACAGGATAATAATCCCGGACATGTTTCCACATGGCCCAGTTCCTTATCCACTCAAAGCGCCTTCCACCTTGGGGCAGAGAGATGCGTGGGAGGAATCCCTGGAAGGCCCCCCGCCACTGTCTGCTTCCTGGGCACAGGTCCTGCAGTGCTTACCTTGGTTGGGCGTGTCCCAGTCCAGGAAGAGCCACACCAGGTACAGAACAGAGACCAACCAGAAGGACGTGAAGAGGAGGAAGAGAATGAGAAGCGAGAAGAAAGGGCCTGGGGGAAAGATGAGAAAGATAAGTGCATTAGCATTTGAAGAATCATTCCATGCCACCTGCTCTCTCCTCTCCCACCCCTCACAGATGGCAGATGTGCCTCCAGCCATGGCTCTGACCTCTGGCCACCTCCTTCTCCCTTTGCCCTCCGGTGCACAAGCAAGTGGAGCCCCAGGTTTTCTCCCTGAAGTCCCTCCTCCCCTTGGGGACCCCAGGGCACCAGCCTCTCACCCATGAAGAGGAAAGTGAGCACGTATTGGTAGGCGCACACTACTTGTAGCCACTGTTTCTGCACGGACTTCATGGTGGGGCCACAGCTGGTCTGTGGAGATGCCTCTGCCAGGGGCTCCAGGGCCCCAGCACAAACGAGGAAGGTTTGGGCGCCGCAGGAAGTCTTTCTTGCCGGAGGGACCAAACCCTCGGGGCCTCCCGGTGCTGCGGGTCTCTTGCGTGTGTGTGGAGAGGGAGATCCCTGGATCCGTAACGCAAGATGCCTCCAGAATGATCTTTGAACTGCCAGTGTTAGTCGCTTTGGGCTGCCCCCTGGTCGCTGGGCGGAGCTGGGAGGTTGCAGGGAATGCAAGGCGGTTCCGGGACTGATGTGGGGAGGAGGCTCCGAAGAAGCCGGAAAGCCCATCCACCGGGTCCCAGGCGCTGGCCCCGGCAAGAAGCCCGGCTGAGACTGTGGGATCTCCAGGGCGGCCGGGCAGGCCCCCGCTGCGCGCCCTGGACCCGGGGGGCAGGTCTCCGGGAGGGTCAAGATCACCCGGAGGCACGGCCGCGCACAAACACGCACACACCGCAGCTCTGTTCCCACGTTTAATTTCCCTTCTCGCCCGCAGCCGAGGCGGGCACCGCGAGGGTCGAGGGTCGGGGCGGCGCGCCTAGGTGAGGAGGGGGTGCGGGTGGGCCGCGATGCCCGAGCGCTCCTCGTGCGCTTCGAGCCCCTCCGGGAGACGCTCCACGTCAAGCGCGTGCAGCGCGTCCACCTGCGCCCGGCTGGGCCGCGCGCTTCGCTGTACCGGGATCGGCCCCCCACCCCCGGCGGGCAGCACCGGACGCCCGAGGGGCGGTGGTTGGGAAGGTGCCCTTCCAGCCCAGCGGTTCAAGCCCTGGGCGGTTGCCAAAGGGGGCGAGGCTGGCGTGGCCAAGGCGTGGCCAGCAGCCAGGGACCTTTGCAGCCCCAGCGCCTCCTGCGCACTCCGCAGCCACGAGCCCGGAGGGTTCGGGAACTGCTGGAAGAGCTCGTCGTCCCCGAAAGAGAGGACAGGCACCAGGCCTGCCCGCGAGGGTAGCCCGCGAGCGTCCCGCCGGGCCACTGCGGCATCCTCAGCCGTGTTCCAGGGCCAATTCGACAAAGCCCTTCTGATTCCGGATCCGCAAATCGGCTCGCCGGGTTTTGCCTCCAGCGCTTCCAGGGGCCCTCCCACGGCGGAGGACCATCACCTGGCCGCCCCCAGGCTGGGACAACGGATAGGCTGCGCCGGCCTTGTCTTAGGACTCCAAACCTGGGGAAGGGGACAGGGGCCCGGATGCCTGGGTCTTTGAGAAAAGAGGGAGGAGGGCACCGTGGAGGTAGAGAGGGGACCAGGACCTCCCACCCCGCACCCCAGAGAGGTGTGGGGGGGCGTGACACAGCAGGGACTGGGGGAATCTCCCCACTTCTCATCACTACACGGGAAGAGGGGGAGGCGGAACCGACGAGGCAGCATGAGGAGGTGCGGCGGGAGGCCGGGGGATAGGCTGGTGAAGCCGGTGGCCTCCCTGCGGATGTTGCTGAAGGCCCTGGTAAAGGACCGGGGCCCCGTGGGAGTGGAAGCCAAAGAGAAAGTTGCGAGAGGGATCAGTTCTGGGGTTTTAACCAGCTGGGGCCCCCACTCTGGCCAGAAGATTCGACTCTGGGGGCAGGGGTGGTAACCAGAGAAGAGTCTATTCCAAAGCCTTCCCCCCCCCCCCCCCCCCCCCCCGTCCCCTCTCCTCCCCCCACAGCACACCATTCTTGGATGGCCTCACTGACACAGGAAAGTAATCTCAGAGATGTCTCCAGATGGCCCAGCTATGGTCCCAGGGAGAGGGGTGGCCTCCTGCCCATGGTGTGTCCCTGTCTCTAGAGCCAGACCAGGTAGAGGGCTGCCAGGATCCAGGCTCGTCTTAGAAGAGCAAGGGGCGACATGGCCAGGCACACCTGAGCTGGAGGATGGAGTGGGGGTTACTCAGTACCCAGGCATTTACGTTCCCAGTTACCCGCCTCTGCCCCCGCATCCCTGTTCCATGGCTTCAGGCCCTCCTGCCCAGGCTAATTCCTTCCCATTCTTTCAGCGGGCTCCAGAGAGCCCTGTCCTGCTTCCCTCCAGGTAATAGGGAAGCAGAATGCCAAGTGCTGAGCCTCACTGAGCCCCAAGAAGGAGAAGACCTGTTGGAGGACAGCAACCAGTCAAGGAGCCCAGTGGAGGTGGCTGGAGGGGGCCGGCATACTGTGGAGGGACATCCCATAGGGGCCACTATGGGTTCTTTTTGGGGGGGGGGTTCTTAAGTACACTCCTTGTGGTCCAACACACTGGCCCTGACCCTTGGCCCTGGTTCGGCTCCTGTGTCCACCCCTGCTTGCTGGCCTGAACCTTGTACCCTCGTGAGCCCCAGCAAGAAAGGGTTAACCACTACTGAGCTCACAGGGTTGTGACCAATGGGACCAAAGAGAAATGCCCAGGGGTGTGGCCAGGAGCCTGAGAGCGAGGGTATGTGGACAGGACCTTGGGCCTCTGCAGGGGGACCTTTGAGGAGCCTGCTGGCAGAGGTCTGGGAAAGTGGGGTGTCACCAGGGTGGTGTGTGCTGTGAATGGCAGGGCTCCCCACATGACTGAGAGCATCTAGACACCCCTTTAGTTGCCCCAGTCCAGCCCCTAAGGACTCTGTGGGAGACATTCCAGAAAGAAGGGCTTTTTGGGAAAGGACAGCAATGGGCCAGCCCAAAAGAGTACACCCTCCAAGTGGGCAGGGACCAGTCCTCACATGGCCAGGGTCCTCCCCAACACTAGCCAGGGCTGTAGAACCGGCGCCCTCTCGGTGCCCTCTCCGGGTGGGTAAATGTCACTTTTTTAAAGGCAGGTATGACACAAACCCCATGAGGTGCCTCTGTCCCACTGTCTCCTGGCATAAAATACTTTCCCACTTTCCCTCCTTTGTGGCGATTTTCTGGCTAAGGTCTCCCCCGAGCTGTGAGCCACAAGAAGACAGGTGTTGTTCTCATCGACCCTAACCCTGTGGCAGGTGCCCAGCAGGCGAGGGGTACTCAGTAAATGACTGGTGGGTCGTAGGACACAGGACGAGCCAGCCACTGTTCAAACTGGCACACCCTTTCTGTCCTGTCCCCTGCTTCGCTCTC